ATTTATTTTGCTGATGAAGTCAGCATCTTAACTAACTCTTTATAGAATACCTTATAAGAGAAATCAAGAAAGGTTTCAGATTCAACTTTTCAGATATATATACAAGAAGAATCCAGAAAAACTTAAAATCAATTGATCTGGATTTAGAAGCATTTGATAAATACATTAAGGATAAGATAAAAAAAGGTTAAATGTATGATTTATTCTCAATAAAACAATCTTTATATGACCTATTTCAAGTAAATCTCTGTAATCTAGTTAAGAAAAAAGACACAATACCTAAAACATTTCATATTATATTTCACTTGTTAGCACTATTTGATTCAAGTTTTAATAATGACATTGATTATGCAAATTTTGAAACAAGATATGAAAATATTAGCCATGTGATAAGATAAATCAACTACTATAAAAGAAAATATGTTCTGTTGAAGATTGACATTAAGAATGCATATTACATATTTTTGATGCATCTATTAAATTAGGTTTTACAAAGAATAAAAATAAATAATAAAATATACTTTAACAAGGCCTTGACTTTTGGCAACAAAGTATTTGGAGGTATTTTTTTATAGATTTGCAGATGTAATTATATGAATAGCCACGTAATAAGACATAAGGTTAATAATCTATTATGTGGATAACTTCCTAATAATATTAAGACCTGATGATTAGAAAAAACTACAACAATTTTTACAGATACTTAATATAATGAACATCCCATATAAGGAATCAAAATTAGAAGATCCTGATACATGTATAACATTTCTTGAAATTATGATAAACACAAAAACAATGTCAGTATCAGTGTCATCTCTAAAATGACAAAAAATGCATGAGCTACTAAAAGACTAGGCCATCAAAAAATAATGCCAAAAAAGGAACCTTCAATTAATTATTAGCTCTTTAATGTAGATATGCCAGATGCTTTCCCAAGAAAGACCATTTGTGCAATGTCTAATAAAAATACAAGAAACAATCAAAAACCTCAAACACTATGTACATATAACTAATCTGATAAATGATGACATTCAATGATGGTGTAGTATAATAGAAAAATGGCCAGGCATTTACTTAATAGAAGATCAAGATTGACAGCAGTCTGAAATAAGCAACCTCTATACAAACACATCAAATATTAGGGATGAAGCAACTTTTGAAAGCTATTTCACCATATTTAAATAGTTCTGTCAAAACATAACTGAAAATCACAACATTCAGAAGCATGAATTACTAACTATGCTCATAGCAATTCACACCTTTTCACCACTCTGGTCCAGGAAGAAGCTAATTATATGAACCAACAATATGTCCAATGCAGAAGCATATTATGCTGGTTCCTGTAAAAATCCCCAAATCAACAAAATTATAGCCCAAATTTACGAAATTCAGATCTGTAAAAATTTTTCAATAAAATTAGAACATATATCTGGAAAACTAAACAAAAAGACCAACCTATTATCATGATGTGGACATAATGAATATCTACTAAAAAACCCAATGGCACAGTATCTTCAACCTAACATTTCACCTGAATACACTAACATAATCTTATTTATTCCATCACTACAGTAAACTCAAGCCAGCCAACTGACCAAATACAAACTATATACAAAAAACCTAGAACAATTAAGAAGAGAAATAGGCGGATAGCAGGAAAACTTAACTTCAACGGAGGCAAGCCACTAGATCAACATGCAACAGATATCTTAAATCTTAGTTCACATAAACACAAGCCTATGAAGCAATCATTAGAAGATATCACACCTTAGCAGAAGAGAACTGCTGGACTAATAATGATGGGAGCATATAGCCCATATCCAAGGAAGCTCTAATTGAATTCGTTAAATTGATAAGCAACAAAGTCTCTTCCCCAACAATCAACTCTTACCTGTCAGCATTAAAGTTTCACCACACAAGAAACTCCTATGATTGGATGCCAGTACGAGACAACCCACTAGTAAAAGAGATAATTAAAACAATTGAGGCGAATCATAGCCACAAACCAGTAAGACAAAAAACACACATCACAAGAACCCACCTGAACCAAATAAAACACAACTTAAACCTTCAACGATCAGATGACATACTCTTCTGGACAGTAGCACTAACGGCATTTTATGGACTAGCACGCCTTGGAGAGCTTCTCCCAAGTTGCAAAGCTGACCAAACCAAGGTTCCACAATTAAAAGCACTGAGGTTCGAAAAAATAAACTCAACAACTTTCGCTATGATACAATTAGCCAGAACTAAAACCACAAATCGGCAAACAGAACATCACTAATAATAAACCCAACAAAAGACAACCTGTGCCCCATCAAGTCTCTAAAAGCATACATTATCCGTCGCACAAGCCCCAACTATGCACCAAATGATGACGCGTTGTTTGTGAAAGCCGATGGCTCGTGCGCAACTAAGCAGTGGTTTAGCAATAGACTACAGTCGTTCCTACACAATGCCGATTTATCAGGTCACAGCTTCAGAGCTGGCGGCACAACAGAACTAGTAATGCGGGGGGTGCAACTGATAATGATTCAAAAAATCGGCCGGTAGAATTCAGATGCATTCTACAGATATATCCGGGCACAACCCAACATGATCGCCTACATACTGATGAAAGCATATAACGTACAGACTTCGCCCAACTAGATCTTTGGAAGGGGCTCCATCAGACGTCACATGCAAAAAAAAAAAAAAGAGGAAAGGGGGGAATGAGGCCTAATAACAGTAATGTACGAAGGATGACACGAATACGAGGCAAAAAAAAAAATAAGGGTAATGGTAATAAATAAAACAAATAAACAAATAAATAAATAAACTGAACAAGGATAAACGATGACTCGACGCACAAGAAATGGCAGAACCACAGAAACTTTTGGCGATCACGTGGTCCTGCCATTTCTTCGCTCTCATTTCTCTGCCCTCATTAGGGGCCTACATGTTTCTGCTCACAGCCGGCTTGCCTCGGCAAAGCGGGAAACCACCGGCTTTGTCAATCCTGCGGCGACTCCCAGCGCAATAATGTTGCAAATTTCTCGGGATGTCTTTGCCGTTCCTGACCAATCTCGGTCAATTATTCACTCTATATCGTGTGATGCGCTAACATATTTCTTAACTGCTTAAATAAAAAATCACCTCCGGCCTAGTAAATGATTGCCGGCTTAGCCCAAACTAGAGCATAACGTGTAAAGTGATGCTTTTCGACATCATGTATAAAAATATAATTGATTATCGTTATATGATGAAATCATCAACGAATCTGATTATATTGCAAAAAGCGAAGAATAAAATTTCTTTAAAATTTATTGTTTGTTTGCTATATAAATTTATAGCAAACAGACAATAAAATTTTAAAGAAATTTTATTCTTCGATGCTACTTGCTTCTGGCAAATTTAATCAAATATAATTAGATTCGTTAGCAACTTAACATATAATCGTTTGTTTTCATATAGAACATTTACTACGTATAAGCAGCCAATGAAATTTGAGTTTGTCCAACATGTATTTCTGTAACGGTGGGACCTGACCGCTTAAAGGTTCATATCCCAATTAGGAAAAGATCGATCACATCTGTCGCATCCGTCGCATGCGACCGATAGGTCGCATCTGTCGCATATGACGGATGGCAGCGATCGGTCAGAAGGGTCTTTTAGGTAATATCAGTTGTATGCATCGCGGAATGTAAATAGAAGTAGACAATTATAAATAAAGGCCGAAGGCTCTTCGGGAATGATAACTTCCCCTTAGCAAACAATACATAATACATAGTAAATAATACATTGCCTAAACACTTATAGCAAATTGCTTGTAACATAAGAAACCGAGTAACTTTATTAAACCGTAATTGTCATTGCTACAACGAAATCTGTCCCTAACCCGTAAAAACACAAAGTGTGTTCGTACATTTAATCGATAACCAACCCGAAACCTCCTTAAAGACAGTAGAACCCGACTAGTACCCAATAAACCACTCGCCAAATCTAACACGCCTTTTTCGACCGGAATTAACCCTCCCTAGTGGTTACACGAGGAATCCGACCGATTTAGCGACTGACTCGCCGTTTTACGATTACACCGTATTTTTATTGGTTTGAAGCAGAAACCCGGAAGCTTTTGCATATGAAATTGCAAAAATTTATTTGGGGTATCAACTAAAAATTTTTATTGGTCGGGTTACATGAAATCTGAAAAGCCGCTTAGCGTCCTGGTTCATTCTGTTGACAGATCACATACATCCTTAAAAAATCGTCTAAGATTATCCTGTTCTTGGTTTGAAGTCACGATACAAACCTAGCTTTATACGATCTTACATTTTGGCAGAAATATCGGTATAAATTAAACTTATCTAAAGTTTCTATAATAGTGAGAAATTCCAATGTGAAACTCTGATATGGATTTGACATTACATATAAAAGGTTTTTACAAACTGCTAATTCAGATCAACGCTAGGTAATTCAAATTTTACTAAATAGATGATACTTTATTCTTTTTATTAAACCTACTATACAGTTGTTGACCTTTTTTGCTAAAAAATGATAATAATGATAAATCAAAGTAAAAAAGTCCAACCTTCTCTTATCTGCGTTAATCTACTGGCTTTTATATAAAACTAACGATATCAATCCACGTTGGTGACAAAAAGATAATGCAAACTTTGCACAACGCATAGTTAACAATAAAACAGTAAGAAACATAATAATAATAATAATAATAATAATATCCTACTCCATTGAGATATTAGGTAATATAAAGACTCAGTTGTCTTGCATCATTATCCTCCTCGACAACCTTTCCAAGCTATTCATATAATTCAATTATAAAAATTGGTTTTTTTTATAAGTTATAAATTAAAAATTATGAAGACTAAAAAGTAGATAAACTTACCCGGAAATCCGCAAATAGATGAAATAGTAAAGTACACGATAAACTATAATTTTAAATATTTAATATAAGTGTGATTGTATATAGTAATAAACGTAACTTGTAATTAGAGAACTTACTAAGGTGACGAATCCTATAAGGATCAATAATTTGGTATTTTTCCACCACATTGATCGCTGTTTGAATTTAATTAATTATTTAGTGAACAATAATATAGAAAAAAAACCAGTATATGCCAAATAAATACCCTTAAAGCGGTGCTTCGTTTTTTGAATGCGAATGCTTGTTGGTTAAGATTGTCCGTCTTGTCTACCAATAAGTCTATTCTTTCTCCACGTTCTAGGACACGTTCTATAGGAAACCAAACAAATTCAATAAATATTATTTCAATAAAAATTCCAAGATATTTTATATGGAATGTTAATAGTTTACCAATATTATCAACCATAACAACTTTAACTTGCTCGATTTCTCCATGTACTTTTTTAAGCTTGTCAGCTTCCGGATTAGTTGAAAAATAATCCTACAAAACATACATAAGAAAATATAATTTTACTGGCGGAAAAAAAAAGGACTGGTGATCCAACTAATGTACCATTTGTTTTGCAAGAACTTTAGAGAATTCGTTTAGGCCATAAGTTGTTGCCTCATCAATTCTTTCCTTAGAATAGGTGTTTAAAAACCGTTCCTTAATGTCCTGCAAAAAGGCAAAGGGAACCCGTCGACCAAAGCTGTCATCTGCCATACACATGTATGTAAGTCCATCTTCGCAAATGTAGTGGAATAAGTATCTTTAATAATAATAATAAAACTTGATAGTTTAATACTTGTAGGCCTTTTTAAATCATTAAGAATATAACAATCTACCTGTCATAAACGTATGTTAGCTTAGAATTATTTGGTGGAATCTTTTCAAGGATTGCTTGAGTAACTATTCAGCAAAGAACAAGATCAGTTAAATTACAGGAATTCAAAAAAAAAAAGGCAACCTTTAAAGTCATCCAACCTTGAGTAAAATCTCCAGAGCCGTTTGTGTGCTCTGCTAATATAATATGGCCGCGTGCGACCAAACCGTAAGTAAGAGACATACTTATTAGAAATTTTGTTTGAACGAGGGTCTGTACTTGGAGAAGGCGAAAACAAAAATGAATGAGATTCACTGCTGGTTACGGTATAGCATTATCTGAATTTGGCAAATACTGCGCTACAATGACTTACGCAAAGATTCGCAAGTAGATGATCAGGTCATTTGCTAAAAGTTTATTTATATTTAACGTTAACCGGTCTTTTTCCGACGACCCGATAAGTATTCTTGTGATACTTGAATTTGTTAGATAATCTTTTAGTTTCTGTCCACGCGATTTTTTTTATGCAAAGGCTGTAACAGAACTTCAGGTATATCGAAATTTTTTTCGGTATAAACGAGTCTTGTCATATTCGAATTCAATGAGGTTTCCATGCTTGATAAGGTTCATTTAAGAAAATTTTACGTTTATATTAAGTTAGATAATTATAAAGTTTTTTTTACTATGACGGTTTTGCCTTCTTTTATTAAGAATATGTTGTATAACGATAAGATGACTCGTGTATTATATAAGGTGAGTGTGAGTATTATAGCGAGGTTAACACTTTTCACTAATAAAGTTTAATTTTGCTTTACAATTTAGAAAATTACTTCGTTTTACCACTAGTGATTATTACAATAAGGCCATGCAAAATTAATTAATTGATTTTTATAACCCGGCCGGGTCAAAATTTGAAAACTTGTAAAAAAATTTTATATATTTTACAGCGTTTTCATAAATCCTAAATATTTGCCGATTCGATATTTTTTTTATAAACTTTTTGATTCGAATGTGATTACATCCAAATCAAAAGTTTATCACTGCCGAACCAAATCGACAATTATTCGGTCGGTTAATTTTTGTCAGATTTTTCAGAATTTAAATAAAAGTTTTATATATGAAATTCTAAAGAAAAAAACTAGCCGGTTGAGTTTGTTTAAAAGTTTATGTTATGAAAATCAATATATTAAACTTGTGTAGCCTAATTAAAATCAGAAAGGTTTGTACTTGGAATTTCATGAAGAATTTTTTTATTAAAATCTTCAAATTTTAGTAATAAAATTTTATTTTATATTTTAAATTGATAGTAATAATAAATTGCAAATTTTAAATTTTATAAAAAAAATTTTTTATATGTTTTAATAATCAGGTGGGTTTTTAAAAAAATAATTTTATAAGAGAATGGTGATCTTAGTGTAGTAGTTGGGTTGTCATCTTTCAAGCAGTAGGTTTAGAGTTTAAATTCAAGATATCTAAAGTTGTAATTTTGTAATTTTAGTTATAACAAGATTAACTTTGAGAATGTGTAATGTTATAATAAATAAATTTATATACCAAATAAGAAGTTTTGTTTAGAAATTCTAAGTAGAAAATAGTATAATTTTTGACAATATTACTAGTAATTTAAATTATTGGTTAAAAAAACTAATTAGTTTAAGCTTTTTAATTAATTAATTTAGAAAATTTTGAACCAATTAGTTGATTAAATTATCAATTAGTTAAATTCTAAGATATTTTATTTATTTGGATTGGTTTATGTTGATTTCTTTAGTTTGATTGATTAATCAACAATTTAGTTATATATTGTAATAAGAAACATTAATTAGTTGTAACTATATTTGGCAACTAATTAATTAAACAAATTTTTATCAACTTGGAATACTAGATATTATTTGTGAAAATTTTGATCTAAAAAAGAAAATTTGAAACAAATAATCTGTATAAATAAAAATTCTTAGATAAAAGTAGTTTATTAACCTGATTACTAGTTAATCTAAGTATAAAGTTACATTATACAGAGTTGACTAAATTAGTAGTATAGAAAGACTTATAAAGATAAACCAAATACTAATAAGGTTGTAAAAAGAGATATTAGAGTTATAGTTAGACCTCTATAATTGTACTCTTTACAAATATATTTACTATATAAATTTTTTTTAAATGCATATTCTGTTATGTTTTTAAATATATAAAAACATAGTAAAAATTTTTTTTATAAATATATACTTTTTTTAAATAAATATCTAAGAAAATGCAATTATAAAAATCTAATTGTATATAAACTTTACAAAGATATAGTAATTTAATAGTTAGTTATAATTGAAGTATTGGTTTAGTTATAGCAATATAAGATTAATTGTAAATAAGAATACAAAAAATTTTAGAAAGTTTATCTGAAAATAAATTAAGTTTAAGATTAAAATAAATGTCTAAATATAAGAAAAAACTTCTATAATTTAATAAAATTAATACAAAGATGTAAGTTTAAAAGATTTAAAATAGAATACTCAAACAATAGTATTAGGTATAATAATTAGTAAAAACTTTTAAATAAAATTTTTAAATAAGTAATATAGAAAAGTTATATATATAATCAATTATATGCTCTTTTTGTAATAGTTTTATATAAACATATTATTCAAAAAAATATTAAAAAGTTAAAAGATTAAAGAGCTTATTTTAATACTAAAAAAAAAAAAATACAAAATTTATATATAAAATTTTAAAAAAAAAAACAGTTAGCTAAATTTGTTCAAAAGTTTTATATTGCTATATATAGCAAGAAGACCTTTTTAACTCCTTATTATAACAATAATATAACTATAGAAATCTTTTATAAGTTTATAATAGTATTTAAGAAAAAAGTATAGTTCTTTTAACTATTTAGAAACTATATTCTTCTCTAGACAGTTTGGTTAAAACAATATAACAGTTTATAATTTTATTAAAACAAAAGTGATAGATCTTGCTTATAAGAATTATTTTAAAAGAAAAATATTAATATAGTTTATAGATAAAAATAATAACTTTATTAAAGAAATAAGGCTATTTGTTAGGTTTCTGTTTTTAAAGAATGCTTTTATACTTTACAAAAATTACTAAACTAAAAAGTAAAAGAAAAGAAATATCTGTGACTTTCTTAACTTAAAGAAAATCTTAAGAATTTATATATTTGTTAATAATTATCAGAACTAAGTATTAAGACTATAATAATTATTAGAGCTAAGCATCAAGTATTAGGCATCAAATATCAAATATTAGTCATTAAGTGTTAAGTATTAAGTATTAAGTATTAAGTATTAAATATTAAGTATTAGATATCAAGTATCAAGTACTATAATACAATTAATCTATTTTACTTATTTTAACTAATATAAATAATAATAATAAAAATAATAATTTTTTTTTTTCTTTGGCAACAATGCCAGTTGGTTTTTATTAGCCTTAATTTGATATAGTACAAATTTATGATTACATTTTAGGATCA